TTTTTTTGTGTAAAAGCTAGTAAACTTTTCAGGTCTACTTGAAGTTACCTTTAAGATGGATCAGTTAGCTAACTTGCAAGGCTTATGTTCTTGTTATTACTAAAATTGTATCGGTGTGTTATTGTCTTTTCTTTAGATGACAGGATCAAATGAATTCAAACTAAATCAAACTCCAGATGATGGTATTTCATCAGTAAAATTTAGTCCGAATACATCTCAGTTTCTGCTTGTTTCATCCTGGGACACAACTGTCCGGCTCTATGATGTTCCTGCCAACACCATGAGACTCAAATATCAACATTCAGGAGCTGTCCTTGACTGTGCTTTTTATGTAAGTGTGTAAGGTGTTTTTTGGTTTGTTTTTTATTACTTTATAGACATAGAATGCCCAAGGTACATGAGAAATTGTCAGTCCCTGAAATTAAAGGGATAGTGAAATACTACCTGAAATCTAGGTTTAAAAAAATAGCTTACTTCTACCAATTATTCTTCTTTTAATGAAGGTCATTCTAGTCCTGAATACAGGTATTTCCTGCAAAGGGTGTAGGCACACAAGTAATTTACTTCTGGTAGAAGTAGTAGGCAAAAGTAATTTGAGCTGATTTGTGCTGTTGCTGCAATGGCATGCTAAATTGTGTGCGTGTTTCTTACAAAGAGTTGTGCTGGTAGTATATAGCCAGAAATCATTATTCACAATAAATGCCCATAGCCAATTAGTCTTTTCTTTTTAACCTTCTCATACTGGGTTGTTTTGGAAACACGGCATTGTTCCAAGTGAGCCATTTACCAGATACACGATTTGTGTATTTTTGATGCACTGGATTTGAAATATGCTTTGGAATGGTTTAAGTTTATTGGTGCCACTTTTTTGTTTTGCCTTTTTTGATATAAGATATGAAGTAGAAGGTTTCAATTAGCATTTTTTTTTTTTTGCATTGTATTCTGATATGTTCTCCAGTGACTTGATCTTGATGTGTTACTCAGTGTTTTAAGGATCAATTTAGATTTTCAGGTCTGCTTGTGCTTTTTTTCACTGAACATTTTGTCACGTAGCTAATACTGTACTGTGGATCAACACACAGGTTCTCAAATGGTATCTAGCTTCTAAATTAGTTTTAGAAGGATTACACTTCCGTTAGGTGGAACTGGCTTAGGTTGGTTGTCGTTTAAAAATAAGTATTATGTGCTTTGCTGTCATAGAAATGGAAATGATTTGGTATAGGCTCTAACTGCCTTTTTTTTTACTTTTTAAATTTAAAAAAAATTCATATAGCTCAAAATACTTTTCTTGAACATTTTGCAAAGCTTCTATCAACTGCCTGTTTAGATCTGGGCCAGATCTTAACCCTTGTGTCTGAATTCCCACCTTCCCAAAACTGTTGAAAGCAAATCCTTTGTTATGAACCTAGGAAATTAAATGCACAGTAGTCAGGGAAACTTAATGCATATCATAAGGTGAAATTTTTTGTTTTATAGGATCCTACCCATGCCTGGAGTGGAGGATTAGATCAGCAATTGAAAATGCACGATTTAAACACGGACCAAGGTAAGCAGATTGAATTCTGTAAGTGGTCTCAACTGGCCTAAGCTTCAGGTTTATATACTTAGATAAATAGAATATGTTTAAAGTTTTTTAGATGGGGGATATTTACTTGAAGTAGTAGCTGTTTAGATGTTGATATAAACCTCTGTTGATTTAAGTTGTCAGTGTTCATGTTCAGCAGCCTCCTTTGCTATGCAGACTTTTCTGGTCACCGAGGTGCAGAACAAGGCAGTATTCCTTACTGTAATTGACGATTGTGCTTGAACACCTTTAACAGAAGGGCCGAATCCATTGCTGCCAAAATGAGGGTTTAAACTTTTCCTGTGATGAATATTCATTGATGTATTTTCCATATGCATTTCTTTTTTATTTACCTATTTTAAGGTGAAAATGGAAGGAAATAGCTAGATACTTGTCACACTGATTGTTTGAGATTCACATCGTATGTGCCTTTATCTAGCAGAACAACTAGTGGCCCTAATAAGTACCACCTAAAAGCATGCAAGTGTTTGGCAGTTTGCCAGAAAGTTTGGTGAATGCTTGTTGTAGGATGCTTTGGATTGGGTTTCTGATGATAATTCTGCTCTGCCGTAGGCTACTGTGGCTCAATTCGGGGGAATTAGCTAAGCTGAACTAAAACCGAGCATGTTATCTTTCAAAGGCTTGTGGTTTAGACGTATTTAGAATGATCTTTCACATGTATGGCAGAAGGTATATAAAGCTTTTGCTTTGTCAAACATCATGGCCTTATACTACGTGTTTTTTTTCCTAAGAAAACATTACTTGAAAGTAACAGTTCCAGTGCCTCATTGGTGCAAAATATGGAGTGAGTTTGTCTGACTTTTTTGTGTGTTTGACTAAAGCGAATTTCAGCCTGAGAGAAATGTGATCACCAGAACCAGGCAACAGCCAGGGCTTGACAAACTTGTGTGCGCGGTAACGTTACGAAAAAGGTCAAATAATTGTTATAGATTACTTTCTAGAAGTGTTGATATTAATATTTTTATTAATATGTAATATTAATTCCTTTATTTAGTCATAATGTCAATATATACAAGCTTAAGTCACTTTCTGTATCAGTGTCTGTCGGAGGTGGTGATACCATTTGATACTGAACACTTCTTTGTATCTCTGAAGATCTCTCTGTGGCTGGCTAAAATTCTTAACTTCCTTTCATAATCTCAGGAGACATAAATTTAAATTTAACAATCCCGATGGTTACAAAAGTTATGCTTCTGAAGACTGAGCTATCCTTAAAGGGACTCCTCGCATATCAATACACTCATGGGAATGTCAGAAACTAGTGAGTTCGTATCGCAGTAACGTGTCCTTTTTTTAATTCTTTATTCAACACATTCTGACTGATTGTGACTCTACTGGCTCTACAAAAAATTGTATTTTCGTACAGAAAACCTTGTTGGTGCCCATGATGCTCCTATCAGGTGTGTTGAGTACTGCCCAGAAGTGAATGTCATGGTGACTGGAAGCTGGGATCAAACAGTTAAACTGTGGGATCCCAGAACTCCTTGTAATGCAGGAACATTCTCTCAACCTGAAAAGGTATGTACCGGGTGCTGTGTTCCAGGTGATACGTTAAATAATATATCCAGTGACTGGTTAAACATCCCCGTACAGGACACTGTCTTAAACTGAATTGAATTTGAAAAGTTATGTTTAATGATTTTTAAGCTGTGAAAATGTTGCATTTTAAGATACTGATATTCAGAATATATTGCCATTTTAGGTTAAAGCTTTGAGCTTTCATCAGTAGGAGAGCATAACTTAATTCTTAGCACTTGTGGTGGACCAAATTCTTATAATTTGAAACAAACTTGAGGAAGGAGAACCTAACAAAAACAGCATGTGAAATTAACAGTCGTTAATAATCTTTGGCTTAATCGTAATATGCACTATCGATTTCCTTAAATGTTAGGACTTTTAGATGTATCAGATCCTGGCAGTCATAAGATCTGATTGTTTTGAAATGTGCATAGAGGTATAGTAGGAGACCATTTATGTTGCCTGAAGTAGTATTTTGGTTTTTTTCACTTATATCAAAAGATTGAACAGGATTGCTTGTATTGTAATTTACCTGTCCTTGTACTAATGCCTAGTAAATTCAGACATTCTCTGAATACTAAAATCCTCTGTGCTAATGAGAAACCAAGAGAAATAAGGTAAAATGTAATGTCTTAAGCTTTTTGTAGTGGTTATACGCTGTGTTAATCTTTATACTGCTTACAGTGGTGTCATTGAAAGAAGTATAGAACAATAATTTCTTTTTTTTCATAGACCCCTAAACACAGGCTGGGTTGCTGGATAATTTAACATATGAATATTTTTTTTTTGCCTATACCTTTTTAAAATTTCATTTAGCTCTTTTGCATTGTATTGTCAGGTCATAATTATGAGCCATCATTATGTTCCCTATTGCATCTAAGTAGCTATTACTTTTGTTACAACATAGCTGAATCTACTTCTGGCAAGACCCTTGTTCAGAATAAAGTAATTGCATTATTTCTAGTTTTGATTTATAGTTATATGTAGCATGTGAAGAACTGTGATAAATTGCTGACAGAATGTCATATAATGGACAGCCACAGTGAATCAAGCTGCTTATTGGTTCAGCAAGGTTCATTATGTCATTTTTTTAATACTGCCTTTGATAAATGTGTACACCTACTCAACTGCATGACAATGGTTTCATTTGATTTATGATTGTGTGGTGTAGAAAGAATACTTACTATACAGGTGTGACATCAGTTTGTAAAGAAGATTTAAGACATTTAATGTTCTTTATGCCTTTGTTTCCATACATGTATACAAACACATTTTATATAATATTTATTAATATTTTTGGATCAATTTTTACATCAATAATGAAGGGAGATTTGAAAAACTGTCTTGTTAAAGTGTGTAACTGCTGTTGGCTCCAAGTTTTCTTTCCCTTTTTATACGTAAGTGGGATTTGGCAACTAGGATCATCAGAAATTTTAGGCAACTCCTATGTGAACATTTAAGACATTTCCGATCTTAAGACCTCAGTCTTCAACCAGAAAGTGAAACTAGATGCTGGAGTGAAATTGTACAAGCACATGCCAAATGTAAATTGAATCTTTCTGACAGGATATCAGATCTCTTACACTTTTGATTCCTGATCTGAGGTATATACAATATCTGTTTCCTATGCATTTAGCTGCATTAGATGGCTTTTGAAAAAGCTCATTTGTAGTTTGCCCCTGCTAGCAGCTCAATGACAGGACAGCTATAGCTAGCTGGATTCCACCTTGCTTGTGTATCAACAACTTGTAATTCATTTGATAGCACTGAGCTTTGGACTGAACCTTTTTTGTTTTTCTTTAACATGTTTCCAGACTAACTGTATCCCAAGCAGTAGTTGGAAACAGAATGATTTATATGCTGAATATTTTCATGAGAAATTTGATGAGCAAAAATTAGAACTTCTGAGCCAATTTGTGGAGTCAAAATTCCAAGCCGTAGTCTTTTTTAATGATGTCGAGCATATTGCTTCCTTCAGTTGCACTTAGTTCTACTAAAGTATACAAAATACTGTTTTTTTAATGATTTATTGGCAATTTATTTCCCTTTATTAACGTGAAACTCAACTTGGAGTATTCTATTTAAAAAGAAAAACACATGATTACCGGATGGAGGAAAACTGAGAAGAAAATGTGTGATGTGGTATTGTAGGACTAAACTGCAGAATCATGAATGGCTAGTGGGGAATGCAAGCTGTGCATACTAAGCAAAGATGAATTCCAATATCCATGCCTTTTCCCCCTCTGCTGTTACTTTGTTTTCCTCTTGCCTTGAAATATCCAATAAATTTAATGCTTGAAATATTTTTTGAGGAAAACTTGAATAATGCTGATTTCTGTTTTGAATTGTACCTAAATACTGTACCTATGTAGCATTTAAAGCATGGGTAATACCACCACAAGGAAGAAATTTCATGTGTGGAAGATCTGGAGACTGGTAACTGAACAAATGTGCTTGGAACTTAGAATTGCGCAAGTGCGTATGCATATTAAAGTGGTTTTTTTTACTAAATTTAGTTATATGTAGTATAGGACTGCATTAGGCTTGATTTTTCAGCCATGTGCTAGGGTGCAAAATTAAGGGTGAGCTTTTGAAATGCCACATGGGTGTCTTATCACTAACCAGCTGCACACTGTTTATCCTAAATTTGAGTTATAAATTAAAGCTAAAGAGAGTTCTATAGCTATAGACTTTATTGTAGATGCCACCTGTTTTGTTATTGCATATTGCTGACGTTTTCTTTGGTACAAAGAACAGTGGATATCCAGGCTAATAAGTGTTAAATATTGTAACTTTTCTTTCTTTTAAAGGTCTACACACTTTCCGTGTCTGGAGATAGACTAATCGTGGGGACGGCAGGTCGGAGAGTGCTGGTGTGGGATTTGCGGAACATGGGCTATGTTCAGCAGCGAAGAGAATCAAGTCTGAAATACCAGACGCGCTGTATCAGAGCGTTTCCGAATAAACAGGTATGGGAACCAAGTCAGTAATTCTATTTCTGATGAATATTCTTTAGGAAAAACAGTGGTTTATTTTTCAAGTTTTCTGCATCTTTCTCTCATTTTAAAAAATTTCTGGTCTTCAAAGTTTTGTAATCAAACTCTGGGAGGAGGGAAAAAAAATGGTATTGAGGCTTCTTGTTCCAGGTTAACTCTTTTTAATAGTGCAGCTTAGGAATGTTTGCCACTGACTTACCAGCATATAATGTTTTCATTTTTTTCTCAGTTTTGTCTCCTTTTTAAAAAATCATCTATTTAATGCATCACAGTGCTGACATGTAATTAAAAAACGAACAAATGAACACCCACAAAGTTGCAGTAGAAGAGAAGACAGAGTTGACGGTTACTCAGCAGCCTTTATGCATTGTAGCCCTAGGTTCTTCAATAGGCTGTGAACAGGGACAGGATTAAAACTATGTTAATGTCTTTTATATATTTTTCTTTCTTTTTTTTTTAACTCTGAGTCTGTGTCATGCACTCAGGAACCCATGATCCATTATCTAGCGGCAATTGTACAATTTTTTCTCTTTCTGAAGTAAAGCAGGAAGATTAACTTTTTCTGACAAACTAATTTGGAAGGGAATTTTCCCGTGTACATAGTGATAGTACAGGAATTGTGAGACCTGGTTACTTGTTCTTGAACTGGCACGAACGCTTTGTCCGTTTTCAGTTCTAGTTATAGTAAACCAATCTGATCTTCCAGATTGTATTGTATTATGGATTTTAAAGAACCTTGCTATAGCTAGGTATCATTACAATCCTATTTCTGAAAAGATCTATTATGAGCTTAACTCAGAAGTTATAATAAAAGCATCTCAGGTTGCTCTAAGTCAGGACTATAATTAACTGGATAAGTGAACACCACTTATAATCAAGTTTCACTGGAAATACTCTTTCAACTTGAGTGTTTAGTTGCTAGTGTAAAGCTCTGAACTAATTTTAATGTAATGTAATTCTGAAACTAAATAGTCCCATGAGTATCTCTAATATTTCAGATATTTAGGCCTCAGGGGATAGGTAGGCAAATAAAAGGTGTTCTTAACTCTTAACATTTTTTGTTTTTTTTTCCCCCCAAATCAGCTTGTGTTTGGGCCTTCGGGGGTAATTAGAAGTCTCACTGTCAGTTTAAAACTATGGTGCAATGAGAATCTCTCTCAGAAAGCTTTTTTTCTACATTACTTCTTTCTTGGAAGCAGATTTTATTGATGATGCCGTGGATCTGTGGTAACAAACAATTTCTGATCGTACACATTTTAAGACTGGTTACATTTCGTTTATTTGAATTTAGAGGGGTATAAGATAAATTATATTGCAATCTCTTTTCCATTTGTAAACTTCTAAAATGCGTATCTCCAAATTTTTTTTGGTAGGGTTATGTTTTAAGCTCTATTGAAGGTCGTGTTGCGGTGGAATACTTGGATCCAAGTCCAGAAATCCAAAAGAAGAAATACGCATTCAAATGTCACCGTTTGAAGGAAAATAACATTGAGCAGATTTATCCAGTTAATGCTATTTCTTTCCATAATGTCCACAACACGTTTGCTACAGGTAACATGGATACTTTTTTTTTGTAAAGATACCTTTTTTGTAAAGCTTGTATCAATTCCTTTAATTTTGATTTAAACAGGTCAGCCTTTATTTCATATGCCCTTACTTTCTAAGCATTTAAATAGTATTTCTTGCAATGAGCAAGGTTTTTAAATTATGTGATGCACTGAGAGTTAATTGCTTTAATAGGGATTTGGGAAATACTCATTGTGCTATTTACTGAATTATGCAACTCTTTATAACCCTGTGTTTTTACTGACAAAGTAATTCCAGGTAGTTTTCTCTTTTCTCTTCTCCTTTTGTTTCCGCCCCTGCCCCCCCCCCCTTTGCTGTCTTTTCAGTCTTACCATTCTCCCAATTATAATTTACAAACAGCTTTTAAAAATTAATTTTCAGGAGGTTCCGATGGATTTGTAAATATTTGGGATCCATTTAATAAAAAGCGACTGTGTCAGTTCCATCGGTATCCCACAAGCATAGCATCACTTGCCTTCAGCAATGATGGAACTACCCTTGCAATAGCTTCTTCATATATGTATGAAATGGATGACATTGAACATCCTGAAGATGGTATCTATATTCGCCAAGTGACAGATGCAGAAACAAAACCTAAGTGAGTATGCTTCACCTGTATTTGAGACTTTCTGAGCATTCATCCCAAGATTTATTAATTTTCCTAAATTCATGAATAGCATTATTGATGCCAGTAGATAGTGCAGCTTGACAGTAGGGTTGGTTTTGATTTTATCTTGTTTGCCCAAGCTTTCAATATCCGTCAGTTGATAGACGTCTGATGGATAAAATTGTGCCTAGTTGTTTAGCAGGAGAAGAATGTCAAACTCTTATCCTTTTTGAATAGGTGCTATTATATGAAGCTGTGGAGTTATTGCTAGCTCATTGCTTCAAGAATTAAGTGAAGAATTCAAGAATAATTTATTTGAGTAAATGTTACTGTGTTCAGATATTTAAAATTTAGAATTAATGAAATCTTTACACACCGAGTATGCACCCAACTGTCATAGTCAGAAGTGAATCTAGATACTGTTTTAGGAAGGTTGTGTAAAAATCAAGGAAAAGCTTTCTCAGTTCCTGTGTATTGGAGTTTGCAGCCCTCTGATAACACACTTTGCTATCATTGTTGCTGTCAAAACGGGGCAAACTGATTGATGGAGGTAAAAGATTTCTGTTAAGCTTGCTTTGGCATGAATGTTACATAGAAAAATTGCCGTCACAGTGCAGAATTGCACTACTCTGAATTATGCTAGTACAGGAGCAGTTACTTTGAAAATAAAAGTCCTGTGGTTTGTCATTGCTATTTTATTTTTCTTCCGGTACTGAAACTGTCTTACTAAATAATGGAGACAACCAAATAAAGTGTATCTAAGTGACTATGTAAATAGACACACATAAGTGATCAAAGTTCTTGAGTTTAAAACCTCAAGACACAACCCCCTCCTCCCCAGGTGATTTGTATATTGCTTCGGAGCAGCCATTTTATTGCTGTGGAGATGCGAGGTGGAAGTTACAGAAGAGTAAATACACCATCTCTCACTTGGAGATGTTTGTTTTAAAATAACTTTGATACTCATGGAAAAATAAAACCAGAACTATTTCAGTATTTATTTCTGGGGCTTCAAGTGGAAAAAAAAAAATAATCCGAAGATGATAAATCAAATTTATTTTTAAAATCAGGTTGTACTTGTTACATACATTTGGTGGGAGGGTTTAAAAAAAAAAAGAAAAGGTGATAAAAGAATACTTGCTACTTTTGGTCTTGCGATAGTAAGAGCTTTTTCAGTTATTTTTGTTCATTGCTAGTTATGGTTGCTAATTCTGTAGATGCCTCATTCTGCCGTATGAGGAGGTTAATCTACAATTAAACAATATTTCCTCTTGGCCCTCCATTATTTTCTGAAACAGATGGTTCATCATTTCCTGGGCTGTTAAACACAGCAAGGTTAAGGTTAGACTCTTGGGAATCAGCTAGTTTTGAATCTTATTAGGCTGTACAAGGAAAACTAATAAGAATACTCCTTAATATCATTTTGTGACTGTAAACAATTATTTATTAGCAAACAATTGATCCCAGAAGGGCAAATTGTTTGAGTCAGTAGTGAGCTGAGGAAAGACAGAGCATATCTGTGTATTTGGAAAATAATTGTAACGTAATTGCAATGCATTTAGACAGGCATCTTTTTGGACCTGTTTCTATCTTTAAATGAATTTCTGAAAACATTAACAAGGTTTATATGCTTTTCTGACATTTACAAGTTGCTTGTGCCAACCTTAGGGCACTAAGAATGATGTGTGTATTTTAGTGTTACAGTAGTGTGAGTCATCTCTGGTTTATTCTAAAAATAAGTTACTTAGGACAGAAGACTAATAGTTTCATAGTGATCTTTTTGCATATTAATTTGAATCACTTAGCATTTCTGCACAATGCCTTCTTAAATGCATCAGGATGGTGCCATATTGTATAAAGAAAACTTGGCAAGATCAGATTTTTGATCCCTAAATTGTTATGTATTGTATGTTGATACAAGTGAAAGTGGTATTTCTACACATTTCTGCTTTTATAGAATGTTGAATGTTTTCCCTGCTTATAATTAAATACTGCTTGCTGAAATACAGTTTGTTTATTTCAGGTCTACTTAGACTTCTGGTGATACTTCTTCTCTACAAGAGGTGCCCGCTTGCTCCTAACAAGACTAAACTAAAACAATGGAAGTGAGAAGAATAATCTTTGTACTGATGTTGTTTTTAGCTAAGAAATATTTGTTTGTGTATTGTAGTATGTCTTAATCTGTCATTACTTTCCTGCTTATAAAGTTAGTGAAAATGTTTTCTTTATCTGCTGTTTGTAGCTAAATTAGTTCACCGTCCTGTAGGCAACTTTGCTTATACCTTTATAAAAACTTACCATATTTTGTAGTATCTAAATATGAAAACTTCCAGTGATCTCATAATTGTTCAATAAATATCCGTAGTTTTTTTGAAAACAAATACTTGTGTAACAACCTTTACTGTTTGTGAAACAAATGTTAAGACCAAACCTTGAAGTTGCAAGAGTTCTTGAGTTCTAGGTCTTTCTGGTGGAAAATTTCTGAACGTTTTGTCTTTTTCCAATGAGATGAACTGGGAATTTCTTCATTACCTGGGGATGTTAGCTCTCCAGGCCATGTTTTCACAGGGCTGTGAAAGCCTAAAGTTGTATTAGGTGGGCTTGTTTATCTCAATGACTTGATCATTACTGAAAAATCATTAACTCTTTCTGGAGGAAAGAACTTGAACACATGGTACTTTGTTTTTTTCCACATATTGCATAAAAGCCTAAAATTAATGATGCTTGGGAAGAATTGAGGGGAGCAAATGAAGAGTTTCAGCCTACAGCTGAGTGATCTGTTCCAGATCTGCAGATCTGACATGGTAGCCCAGCATTTATGGAGTAACACAAGTAGAAAAGAGTTTTCGCAGAGTGGAAATGTCATTCTGGCCACAAAACCCCATGAAAATATGCTATTTCTCTGCGTGTCTTATTGACCTTATTGCCGGTCAGTAAGAAGTCTAATCTGTAATCAAATTTTGTATCAGCCTCTTGAGGATTTTGGAGTGGGGGGGTTGGGGTGAGAAGATGCTTGGACTTAGACAAATTAAAAATTTATTGGGAAAGTAGTATTAGAAAAACAACTTAAACACTGTGTGTTTTTTTTCTAAACAGGAATGTAGGTCTGATGAGGCTAAACCTACAAATCCATCTTCTGCTAAAAAGGGTATTATTTACTGTTGCACATTCCTGACTGGTTTGTGGAAATAAGGATAAATGCTTTCTGATTTAGTACCACCAGTAAAAACTATCTCATCCACCTCTGTTTGCAGAGCAGACTGTCAGATTGTTCTCTTAATAGTAGCTTGTATCAGGTGTTTGGGAAGTACTTAATGTTAAGTATTCACTTTGTAGTGAATAGTAAGGAGCGCCAGAACAAAACTCCTGTGAGGCTTCTCAGAAATTATTAAGCTGTGGGTATTTTGGAGTGGTGTTTGGATTCATACTTTACTTCCAGCTTTTCCTCTTCTGAGTTATCAATGCCTGTGTAGCCAGTGGGAGTACTTTATTACCTTTAAGAAAACAAACTTGCTGACAGCAGCAGTAGTAACCGATCATTCCAAAGGTGGTGGTGATGGAGAGGAAGCTGGGCTCTTCTCTTAACAGAAAGCTAACAAACTTGAGCTGTTACCAGGTAGGCATAGTAAATGAATTATATTTGGAATATTTTATAGTTTGTCATGAGCTAGATATGGATTCTTTGATAATATAAAAGTTTGATAAGCTGGAAAAAAAAATCTTCCTGATTTAAATATGAATAATGCCCTCACTACAGTAGCATCCAGCCTCTGTTCTGATACACATGCACAATCCCTATTCCAATTTTAATTGTCTTTTTTGCATTGAGGATACATGACTGTGTGATGTTGGGCAAAGGCTGAATTTTTTATGTCAGTTTAGCAAATGATGACACCTAAGTGTTTGGGTATTTTGTTATCTTTGTTGGAGGAATGCATTGATACATATGGTCTGGGGACTGAGCATGGGAACCAAAGGTTCCTGCAAGAATGACTAGCAAAGAAATAGTAAGCTAAATCCGTAGTTTGGGGGATAACTGTAGGCTGAAACAGCAGACTTTGTGTTAAGAACACTGTCAAGTGTTCTAGGATCCCATACCACAATGTGTGTGTGCAGGTATAAATACATGTATATGTTTGCTCTGCAAATAATAACTGTTATTCTTCTCAGCTGAGAGCATATACCATTACAAAATACAGGATCAAGCCCACAAAGAAATTGTTGTTACCTGAAAGCACAACGTTGACCCTGCTTGTGGAGAAGAGACCTGAAGTGAGGCTGGGTCCAAATGAACGTGTGAAGGCAGAAATAGGCTGGGACTAATGAAAAGGTGGCTTAGTGATGATATGGAGAAAGGGACATGTGAAATGGAGGGAGGATAGAGTGAGGCGTTACAGGGGTAGAACTGGGGAACAAAGTGAAATAAGAGCTAGAGAACATAGGGGAAAACAAAAGAATTAGGCGAATTCAGAATGGTTTGGTTAACAAAGTAGACATGTAATGTAACCTGTATATGATGCCACCTGTGCAGCTTTTCATTGGGAAGCATTGGGGGAAAAAAAAACCTGTTAATGCTTGATGTACTGAGATCTGCATGCTTCAGTGGACGAAGGCAGCCCAAGATATGTAGGAGGAAACAGATTGGACTTACTATTTCTATTTTGGCTTAAAAATGATAGGAGAATTCCTTGTGGTGTGTTGGTGTTTTATGTAAATGCTTGAAACAAACAAGAGTCTGTAGAAAATAGCGAGACAACTGGAGGAGAAGAGAAATGTTAGTTGGTCAGGGCTACAGCTGCGTCTGTATGTTAGGTACAAGTACGTGCGGTTGAAATACGGGTATTTCTTTTACAAGATTAATCTTCCTTTTATTAGCTCTCTTCTAGAATGCAGGTCAAGGCAGAGGTTCATAAGCTGGAGAAATCATGAAACAAGCCTTTTCTGACCTATGTAACAAGCAGCTGAACAAAGAGGATATACTGACTCTTGATCAGA